TATAACTGGACTCATTAACTAAATCAGAAATGTACCAGTTCATGGCTGTGATGCTCAAAAGAGGTTTTCCTTCGGAATAGAACATCATTCATTTGGAACTTTTGGTAATCTTTGCATTTGACTCACATGATCAGTCAGTCTCTCTGCTTTGTAACTGCCCTTGGATGTAACATTTGGGGGTGCTCAGATGAAAGTTTATTATTCTTAATTTTTTCAGGGCATAAATTAGCAGAACTGATATGAGGTACAGGGAAATTTGACTCATTTTCACTTTGCCCATCAGTACACTCAATGATTGTAAGAAGTGAATATTTGAATTACATTTCTAAATTAAGTATAATTGTGAATTTGAGGTAGTGCAAACTGTAAGAGCAGTGTCCTTTAAACTGTGCCTTCCACACCAGCTTCATAGGGAAAACATGAAGATTCAGGCAGCCGATGCTGGAAACTGGAATGTTGTAGGCTGAGAAAGCTTAGCCTTATATGAGAAGAAACCTGATTCCCAACTCCAAATCAGGTAAACATTGTTTGGCATCTCAAAAGCCAAAGAGTCTTATGTAGTAGAAGTCCAAACTTCTAAACCAAAAATTTTAGCAGAGAAGACCAAAAAATCTGTTGAAACTGATTTTTTTCCCAACAAGTTCTAATTTTTCTCATTAGCAAAACTAAAATCATCTAAATTTTAAACATTTTAAAAAATGTTGGTTCTTTAAAGAGGAAACTAATTTCTTTTAGATGAATGTTAATTTCACAATGGAGGATTAGATGATGCCTGCAGATAATGTCATGTCTTATTTGGGGAAGTGGTTTAAATTCTAGGCTCACCTTGCAAAAGAAACCCTTTTCCCTTTGTTAAATAAATAAATAAATAAATAAATAAATAAATAGAATGCCATTGGAGAGGTCTCCTCTTTTGTGTTTTCTCCCTGACTTCCCTTCCTGCCTCCAAACAGAGCCTACTTATGTGCTGGTTTATGTCTACAGAGAGAAACGAAGGGGCAACTGGCTTTTGCTTTGATTTGAGTGCCATTCTTTTTTCTTGTTTCCCTCTCCTGAGCAGGGCCACATATGGTGTTAACACTCAAGTGAAGCTTGCTGCCTCTTGCAAGTAAAGAGGGTTTAGCTGAAGTGGACATTGTGCATTTGGTGCATATGAGACTTTTTCCTGTTCCTTTATTCCTCCCCTTGTGCCCAGACAGGACTCATTAGAAAACTGAAGAGCCACGATTCGGGAAGCAAAGGAGAAGAAAGGATGAGGGGAGGGCTCCAAGTACAGTGCTTTATGCTGATGTAGGGCACCCCCGCCCCGAAACCTCATCGTCCCTGTGGAAGGGCCGCTGCCTTGAGGATTTTACATGGCAGTTCTGCTACTTGCTGGTTACTTTCTAGGCTTCCCTTATCTTCAGGGGTTTATATCTTTTGAATTTAGTTCCAAGTCACAGACTCTCAGGGTCTCTGTTTCCTGCAAAGAAAAGGTTAACTCAGTGGATGACCTTCTCGGGTCCCTTCCAGTGCTAACATTTAATGAAATAATCTTGCAAGTGCAGACCGCCAATGTATTGAGAAATGGAGTATTTCCTGCTATATCAATAAACAGGATTTCAGAGTCATCAGCTATTACTGCTCTCCAGGGCAACCGGGAAAGAGAACAAAACCTGTGATCCGACAGTTATCAGGCTGTGGCTGCTCCCTAAGGTGAGCACTGAAAACCAAAAGACACTGGCCCCAGATAGCTGAGATGCATATGAAAGGAATGATTTCAGTGAGCCCAGACTTGCATATTCCCATACTTAGAAAAGCGCTAAATTCCTCAACTTGAGATATCTGTTGTGTCTGACTCTTTGCGATCTCAATGACTGCAGCACGCCAGGCTTCCCTGTCCTTCTCTATCTCCCGGAGTTTGCTCAAACTCACGTCCATTGAGTGGGTGATGCCATCCAACCATCTCCTTCTCCTCCTGCCCTCAATCTTTCCCAGCATCAAGGTCTTTTCCTTAATTTTCTAGTTTTCCTTAATTAACAATAACCTTTTGGTATTCAGATTATGTGCCCTTTGTTACAAACTTCTGTATAACCTGACTCTACTTCCCATCCCCATCTCAGAGCAGTTCTCTTGGGGTTATTTGAGATGCTATCTCTTGGGCTTGAAGCCCTAAAAATTCCCACCAAATAAAACACAACTCTTAAGTTTTAGATAGTGACTATTTTTTAAGTCAACAGTATCAAACATTCCAGAAAACACAAGGTGTGGATAACCAGGACTGAAAAGAAGGGCCCAAATGCATGTGGAACACAATAGTACATGTTTTCTTAAACATGTGCTTCTGTGTATACACAGAACTCAGGTTTTATTCACTTTCTAGTCAGGCCTGTTCAAAGACCTGGTTAGCTCTCTTTAAAGGGTTCCCTAGGGGAAGCATCCCCTAGGGCAAGGGAGCACTGCTCACGTTCATAAATAAAACTGGGTTTCCACATTTAAGAAATGACTGTTCTTTCTCATATCCTTGCTCAAATATTTTGTTTGCTGAGAAGTAAGGGGGAAGGGAGAGTAGAGAGGGTTATGAGAGGTTTCATGGGAAAATGCGCAAAAATATAAACAAAGATATCTGTGCTGTTCATCTTCTAAGAGAGACTATGGCTAACTTGTAGGTTCCTTTCTTCCTTCCTTTTTTTTTCCCCCCAGAAAAAAAGTATCTGGTAGCAAATGCTTAGGCACCTGTAGAAGTCAGAACCTCGGTGCAGATCACTGAAAAAAGAGCAGGGTAACATCTGACTTGGGAATTCATTTCACTCCCTGCCCCCAAAAGGCTTATTTTATGTTGTATTTCTCCTGGGTTAATTAAAAAATATAAACAGGAGTAACGTTATTGTCTAGCTCCTCCTCTCACACCCCATTAAGAGGGAGTTAGGTTGGACAGGGGAGCGGTTGACACCCACAAAGTAGGGAAACTTCACAGGGGTAATTGGAAGTCTGGGGCGGTTCCCAAACCTCTTCTAGACGAGAAATGCTGTGAGCCGGAAAAGCAACCCGTACCAGGCAGGGATTGTCTGCAAACCACTAGAAAGAGGGCGGCGTTCTATGAGCATGGAAAGCCAGGACGTCTGGAAATCAGTGAGATTAGGTCTTGAAGTTTCTCCATTTTGAGAGCAAAACATGTCTAGTCGTCCTCTTACAGCGCGTTTATTTTCCTGCTCTTTCTGAGCCTTAACGTGCCTGCTCCGCTTGGGTTGCAGATAACTCTGGGCAGACCCTTAGGGCTGACACTTTCCACCCTGATATTTAGCTACCGCAGCCCAGGAAGAGACGTGCCCAGAGACCAAACTCAAAACGGCGGCTGCCCTTGTGCCTTCCCTCCCCTTCTTCTGATGTTACGGATCAGTGAGGAAGGGAAGGAGAGAGAAACGTCCTGCCTGGGGGTGAGCGGTGCAGGAGACGCCTGACCGCCACCCAGGCACTTTCCCATCCTCTTTCATTGGTTAAAAAAGAAAAACGCTTTCATGTACCGAATGGAGACAGAGGGTTGAGTTTGTCGGCCCAGGGTGGGAGAGGGCTTGTTTACAAAGCTCTGCCAGCCTGAGATTGACAGATCAATGGTCTTTCTTGCCTTTTTAGAAAGCATATTTGGAGCTTTCCTTCTCCCTTTTTTCCATTGACATTTCCAATTTTAGATTGTGTGTGGTTTAGAAGAGGGACATTTCCTTAAAAACAAAATCTGCATGGAGAAGGCAATGGCACCCCACTCCAGCACTCTTGCCTGGAAATACCATGGACTGAGGAGCCTGGTAGGCTGCAAGTCCATGGGGTCTCAAAGAGTCAGACATGACTGAGCGACTTCACTTTCACTTTTCACTTTTATGCATTGGAGAAGGAAATGGCAACCCACTCCAGTGTTCTTGCCTGGAGAATCCCAGGGATGGGGTTGCACAGAGTTGGACACGACTGAGGTGACTTAGCAGTAGCAGTAATATGTGAAAAGCCAGACTTAAGTAAACCAGGGGCTCTTCAATTAAATAAGGAATACTTTATATCCCAAAGGGACTCACAGGAGTGTTTCTTTAAATAGCAAACACCTTCAATGCATTAAAATAAGGTGTACAATGTCTGCTAGGGAAACAACTCCTTTCCTACCACTGTATTAAGATAAAAGGGCCAGGGAGTTGTGTTTTCTGGTTTTCTAGTAATGTTCTAGTCTGTGCTTGCCTGTTTCCCCACACTTCGTCTTCAGTGAGAAAACTGTTCATTGTAGGTCATCCAACCCAGTCTCCCCTCTGTGCTCCAAGATCACTACTTTCATACTTCTCTTGAAGCACCTCCATTGTATTGTGATCCATCTGGCTTTATAGCTCTGAGCTCCTTAAAGGCAGGACAGTGTCTTGCTCTTCATTTCCATGCCTTCTGTCCAATAAACGAGAGACTGATTGCAAGCATGTCCCTTAAATTGATCTTAGTGCTTTCTCCTGGCAGAGTGAATGAATGAAGCTAGAAGCTTTGGAGGGTGCAGTAGTGTGTGTCTAAGCTGTGAAAAGCTCTCCCACCCTGCTTGGGCAGGGGCTTCAGATCCTTTAGTGAGTCTTCCTTGTATAGGCATGCATTGGAGATATTATGGGTTCCATTCCAGACCACTCCAATCAAGCAAATGTCAAAGCAAGTCACGCAGATTTGTTTGGTTTGCCAGTGCATATATAAGTTACATTTACAAGTGTGTAATAGCATTATGTCTAAAAAATAGCATTATATCTTAAAAAAACCCGTGTCCTTGTTTCTTTACAATGCTTTAATTAACTACTTTATTGCTAAAAATGCAAACTATCATCTGACAGTGCAAGGTTGCCACCAACCTTCAATTTTTTTTTTTTTTTAAAACCCTTCAATATCTGCAAAGCACAGTAAAGTGAAACACAGTAAAGTGAGGTATGCCTGTATACAGGTGTTCAGCTCAAAAGGCAAAGTGTGTGACCTCTTGAGAGGATGTGGATCCTTCAGTCGGTCGCTTTCGGAACATGGTGCAGACTGCAGTGGTCCCAGTCAAGAAGAAGCGGGTGGAGGGCCCTGGCTCCCTGGGCCTGGAGGAGTCAGGAAGCAGGCGCATGCAGAACTTTGCCTTCAGTGGAGGACTCTACGGGGGCCTGCCCCCCACACACAGTGAAGCTGGCTCCCAGCCACACGGCATCCATGGGACAGCACTCATTGGTGGCTTGCCCATGCCATATCCGAACCTCGCTCCTGATGTGGACTTGACTCCTGTTGTGCCGTCAGCAGTGAACATGAACCCTGCACCAAACCCTGCTGTCTATAACCCCGAAGCTGTCAACGAACCCAAGAAGAAGAAATACGCAAAAGAGGCGTGGCCGGGCAAGAAGCCCACACCTTCCTTACTGATTTGATATTTTTGGTCATGGAGGAGGGTGGGATAGGGTGGGAATGGGGTGGAAGGGTGATGGGGGGAGCTAATGAACTAGGGAGAAAAAACAAAACAAAACAAAACAAAACAAAATCTGCATATAAAATATAAATCACATGGCATATTAAATTTAATTAAACATGGAGTAACATTTTCCAAGTTTCACCATGGCAGCACTTGCAGGATTTTAAACATGACTTAGCAACTGAACAACAACAGCAATCTAAAATTTAACCTGACAAAATCCTGTGTTGCTGGTTGGGGGTGACTTTACTTTTGAAAAAATTCCTTTTTCCATTTGGTAGGAAATTTTTTATCATAAGCTTAATGCTAAGGATGGAGAATTCTGGTAAGAATATTAAACCATTTATCATATGCTCAGAATCAATTAAAATTTATATTTTACACTTGTCTATGTATATATATGTGTGTGTGCACCTATCTATCTATATGAATGTATAGAATCTTAGAATTCTAGGTTAGGGCTGACAGTGGCCTTCATACCCAGTGAGCAGCCCAGCTCACTCACTTGACAAATGAACCCGTCTCACGAAGCAATTCTCTGTCTTTTGCATTTCTGTTCTTTCTGTGGTGGAGTGTTTCCTAAGAATTATTTCACACCAAATCGTGTTGATGACATGCCAGCAGCAATACAGTGTCTAGGGAACTTCAGCTCATGCTTTTGAAGCATTTAGAACTAGTTTTAACCTCCACATTTTTGTTTTCCAAAGAAACACCCCCATGTATATTCACACTCCCGGGTTCGGAATTTGCTTACAGGCAGTGTTAACCAAACAGATGTGATGTGTTTCCTTGTTTATTCCTATTCTTTCCCTGCAAACCAAGATGGACCCTGGAGGAGGGTGGGCTGCAGGCTCTTTCCAAAGGCCTGTGAAATCTGTGAGTTGGAGGTGGTGGTTGTGGGGATGGGGTTGTTTAATGAGGAGAGTGCTACAGTGAGTGGAACACTTTCTGAGAAGATTTCTCACTTCTCTGCAGCTGCTGAGCAAGTGTAAGCATCCATTTCTTCCTCAGATTCTGGGGACCATGAAAAACTCTTTTGGGAAGAGAAAAACTTTAATGGACACGCTCTCACATTTCTCCAAGTATTATAAAGATATGATGATACTGAGATTTCCACACATACGTTAGAGATTATGGTGAACACTCAAATTTCCTAAGCATGATTTAAATTTTGTAAAATACCATTGAGCTACCCCTTTTTAAAGAAAAAGCATTTTATTTTAGCCTACAGTTAAAGCTGTGGTATTGTCAAATACTCTTTCTGTGCAACTCCTGTAATTGTTAACATTAATAAGAATAATTATGGCACAACTTACTGAATATATATCTTATTCCAGACACAATGCTAAGTATTTTACATGTATTATTTTATTTTAGTATTTGTAATAATCCTATGAGGTAGGTATTTTCATTCAGCAAATTTAAGTCCGGAGACGTGAAATAAGTTGCTTGAGATCACACAGTAATAAGAAATAAAACTGGGAATCCAACTGAACTGTTTCTGACTCCAGAAAAAGAGTTTCCAATGTTTGTTAAATCATTTTATTTCAGAGAATTTTTAGCTTTCATTTACCTGGTCAAATTAGAGCAACAGATTTTAGTTTTCAACTATGTTCTAACACAATTTTTTTTTCTTATTTTGCTATAGCTCTAACATTTGAAGAAAAACAATTAATTTTCATAATATCAAAAGTATTTATTTAGTATTTAGTTTCTAAAGCCCTGCCCTACACTTGTTCTCATTAATCCTAATGTCCGTTCTGCAAGGCAGTGTATGGACAAGATGATCCCTAAGCTACTAGCATTAGACTTAGAGTTTAGAAACTGAGATGCTTGTTTAAACCCTGGTTTCTGTTGTCCCCCATGGACTGGGATAAAAATCTGAGCAGTCAGATTGTACTCAAGAAATTGCCTTATAATAAGCTTTCAAGTATACGAATGAGTAGAAAGGGAAATGTGAATTTTGGAACCAAACCTTGATTTCCATCCTGGTTTTAGCTCTTTTAAAATTGTATGACCTTAGGCAAGCTGTTTATAGAGCTGTGAAAGAAAGTGAAAGTCACTCAGTTGTGTCCGACTCTTTGCGACCCCCATGGACTATACAGTTCATGGAATTCTCCAGGCCAGAATACTGGAGTGGGTAGCCTTTCCCTTCTCCAGGGGATCTTCCCAACCCAGGGATCGAACCCAGGTCTCCTGCATTGCAGGTGGATTCTTTACCAGCTGAGCCACAAGGAAAGTCCAAGAATACTGGGGTGGTTAGCCTATCACTTCTCCAGCAGAACTTCCTGACCCAGGAATCAAACCAGGGTTTCCTGCATTGCAGGAGGATTCTTTACCAGCTGAGCTACCAGGGAAGATCCACACAAAAGCATTTTATGCTTGTGGTTACAGTGCTGTAGTGAAGATTAAATTGATATTGTGTATAAAATAGTAATGTTTAAGAGTACTAATAGTGATGAAAACCAATACTTTCGGAACATTTGCTATGTGCCAGGCTAAGCATGTGCCATGCTTAGCCATGCATGTGCCAAGCTATGTGCCATGTACTAAGCATGTTACATCTATCAACTCATTGAAGGTTCACAGCAACCATGTAAGGGAGGGCTGTCATTATTCCTAATTTTCAGAAGAGGAGGCTGAAACGCAGAGATTAAGCTGAGCCAGGATTTAGTAGCAGGGAGTCTGGCTCCAGGACTCTGCCCTTAACCTCTATACTGGACATCTATCATCATCACTATTTACTGATTGTTACTTTCCTTTGGACCATCTTATAAAAATGACAGCAATGAAAACTGATAAAAATGCTAGATACAAAATAATGGTCCTTTTGGTCCAGAACATGTAAGCACTATATGGTACATTTCTCTTTAAGATTATTCATTCAGTCCAGGATCAGAGATGCATGTTAGGTAAGACCTGGCAAAGATCTGTTTGGGTTACCTGGTGCCTTACTTTGCACAGCGTTACTCAAAATCTAGTTCAGGGACTTGCAATATCAACATCACCTGGAGGCTTGTTAGAAAGGCAAATTCTTGGGCCCCACCCTAGACCAGTGAGTCAAAATCTCTGGGCGTGGGGCCCAGCAATCTGTTTTGACAAATTCTGCAGGTGACACTGATGCATCCTAAGGTCAGGAACCACTGGTTTACAACATAAAGCAAATAGGTTTTTTTTTTTTTAAGAGTTTATAAAATAAGTAAAAATGTTGACGTATCTTTACTCTTTTGCAATTTATTTGAATTATGGTTGTTCTTGACAAACAGGTATTTGTTGTGGGAACAGAGAATGCCTCTGTTCAGGCATTACTAGTATTGGACATACAAATATATCAGATGTAGTTCTAGTGCCAGTAAAGTTGCCGCCTAGTGAAAAGGGAAAGAGGGTACATCAGATCAGAATACAGTGCAGGCAGGGCCATAATGGACCATGCCCACACTTTGATCGGAGCTGAAATCGGGCAGGGAGGTTATCACTAAGGTTAACCTAGTGGTGCCTTGAAGGATAGAGACTTGCCCTAGAGATGGTTAACAGAAATTACTGAAAAATTCAGACTTAACTCCATTGAAGGGTAGAATAACAAGTTATGAGGACTTTGGTCTCAAAGCAAGACATACTGGGGGGAACTACTTCTTACTAGGCTACATATAACACTACAGTGTGGAGATGGAATTTAGTGCAGAGGGTATATCATAGTGTAGACAAGTACATAACCTATACCAAATGGTGGGTTAGGTCAGATTACAGAAGACTTCCTGGAGGAGGAAGTCAGATATCCAGAAATGGATCTGAAAAAATGGGTATAAATCACACAGATAAAAGTCTTTCCAGGCTTCTAGGAAGCTGAGTCCAGAAATAATATGTAAAGGACAGCTCTTCCCAACTTTTAGCAAGTGATGACTCTTCAGGAAAAGGTAGCATTTGCAAGGCACCATGGGCATCAGATTGATTATATTCTTTGCAACTGAAGATGGAGAGGCTCTATACAGTCAACTTCCCTGGTGGCTCAGATGGTAAAGCATCTGCCTACAATGAGGGAGGCCCGGTTTCAATCCCTGGGTCAGGAAGATCCCCTGGAGAAGGATATGGCAACCCATTCCAGTACTCTTGCCTAGAAAATCCCATGGACTGAAGAGCGTGGTAGGCTACAGTTCATGGGGTTGCAAAGAGTCGGACACGACTGAGCGACTTGACTTTCACTATCAGTTCAGTTCAGTCGCTCAGTCGTGTCCGACTCTTTGCAACCCCATGAATCACAGCATGCCAGGCCTCCCTGTCCATCACCAACTCCCAGAGTCTACCCAAACCCGTGTCCATAGCATTGGTGATGCCATCCAGCCATCTCATCCTCTGTCATCCCCTTCTCCTCCTGCCCCCAATCCTTCCCAGCATCAGGGTCTTTTCCAATGAGTCAACTCTTCGCATCAGGTGGCCAAAGTATTGGAGTTTCAGCTTCAACATCAGTCCTTCCAATGAACACCCAGGACTAATCTTCTTTAGGATGGACTGGTTTGATCTCCTTGCAGTCCAAGGGACTCTCAAGAGTCTTCTCCAACACCACAGTTCAAAAGCATCAATTCTTCGGCGCTCAGCTTTCTTCACTGTCCAACTCTCACATCCATACATGACTACTGGAAAAACCATAGCCTTGACTAGACAGACCTTTGTTGGGAAAGTAATGCCTCTGCTTTTAAATATGCTTTCTAGGTTGGTCATAACTTTCCTTCCAAGGAGTAAGTGTCTTTGAATTTCATGGCTGCAATCACCATCTGTAGTGATTTTGGAGCCCCCCAAAATAAAGTCTGACACTGTTTCTGCTGTTGCCCCATCTACTTGCCATGAAGTGATGGGACCAGATGCCATGATCTTAGTTTTCTGAATGTTGAGCTTTAATCCAACTTTTTCACTCTCCTCCTTCACTTTCAACAAGATGTTTTTTGATTCCTCTTCACTTTCTGC